TGCAGTAAGTATCCACCGTGAATCTGCTTCAGTAGGGTAGTTCAGCCCAAACAATGTCAAATCAAAGTACTCTTCAAAGTACGCTTTCCATACTCCTACTATTTCAAATATAAAAATCATGGTTCCAAACACACTTTGGTAAATTAATGGTAAGTTAAACAAACCAGTATCCAACTCCAAGATTTTCATATGGAATTTTATCAGAATCTCAGTGATTCATAAAAAGGTGTCATGTTATGTCAGGTGAGGTCTTTGAACCAATAATATATTGAAACGAGGCAGACTACACATGCAAATATATGTATAGCTGATTTCTTTGAATAACCTTCCCTATAATTCATTCTCATGTTAAACACATACTGCAGGCTTCATTTAGAAGATATATAATCTAATTGTGTAATCAATTAGACCCAAAGGACCCATCTACCTGTAATATGGACAAAAAAAATCAAAATCCAAATTGTTAGTAAATTTAGGTATATGTTTTATTTCTGTTTTCCCAAACACTGGGATGGTATTTTATTTTGAGGGAACCTTGGTGCTCTCTGAGCTTGTTTGCTTTTTTTTGCAGATGTCTCATTACCCAAACTAGATAACATTATCAGTGCTGATATTTTACTTTCTCCAATGTCAGGCTTCTCCTGAGAAAGTAGAATTGGAAGCAGTTGTAAACAGATAGTCAAGAATGCAAATTTCTGCTCTATGGAAGTTTGTTGTTGAAGTTTTATTTGTTTGTTCAAAACAAAATAGAAAACTAATATAGTCTATTTTCAGGTTGTTTGCTAGAATTCTCACAGCTAGTTCTGCAATTTTGACAGACTCTCCTATAGAATGAGATCAGTAGAAATACACAAATGTTCACTTGATTTGGATCAAATTAGGGTGACATACTGATCCAATATAACAAATTAATAGATTAGTTTCATTTATTGAATCAAAATGAACACATCCAAATTTAAACTGTATTGGGTGTTTCTTTCTGCATTGTACACATGTTTTAGTGATCCCAATTAAATTAAGTTCAATTTGTCGATCTATATAAACCAAATCAGATCATATCAATTTTCCAAACCATGCTAAACATTTATTTGAATTGGACCTGATTTTCATACCCCTAGTGATTGTTCTGTCTGGGTGGATTTATGGATTTATATTTTAGTCTATTGAATACCAAAAGGCTTTACTGTGATCACCTGAGCAGGTCTAATGGTAATTTAAGGTTGTTATAAAAAGCATTTGAACATTATTTAACAGTTTTTATTCAAGATATAAAACAATGAAATGGACTGTCTCAATTATTCAAATATACATGTAACATTTCCTTAAACTTTATTTTCAAAATAATTGCTTATTTACAGAGTTAGGTATTTTTATTATTATAACTATTACAGGTGAAACTCAAAAAATTAAAATATCGTGCAAAAGTTTATTTATTTCAGTAATGCAACTTAAAAGGTGAAACTAATATATGAGAGAGACTCATTACATGCAAAGCAAGAATGTTCAAGCCATGATTTGTCATAATTGAGATGATTATGGCTTACGGCTCATGAAAATCCCAAATCCACAATCTAGAAAATTAGAATATTGTGAAAAGGTTCAATATTCTAGGCTCAAAGTGTCCCATTCTAATCAGCTAATTAAGCCATAACACCTGCAAAGGGTTTCTTAGCCTTTAAATGGTCTCCCAGTCTGGTTCAGTAGGAATCACAATCATAGGAAAGACTGCTGACCTGACAGTTGTGCAGAAAACCATCATTGACACCCTCCATGAGGAGAGACAGCCTCAAAAGGTAACTGCAAAAGAAGTTGGATGTTCCCAAAGTGCTGTATCAAAACACATTAGTAGAAAGTTGTGTGGAAGGGAAAAGTGTGGAAGAAAAAGGTGCATAAGCAGCAGGGATGACTGAAGCCTGGAGAGGATTGTCAGGAAAAGGCCATTCAAAGGTGTTGGGAACTTTCACAAGGAGTGGACTGAGGCTGGAGTCATTGCATCAAGAACCACCAACACAGACGGATCCTGGACATGGGCTTCAGATGTCGTATTCCTCTTGTCAAGCTGCTCCTGAACAACAAACAACATCAGAAGAGTCTTACCTGGGCTAAAGAAAAACAGAACTGATCTGTTGCTCAGTGGTCCAAAGTCCTCTTTTCTGATCAGAGCAACTTTTGCATCTCATTTGGAAACCAAGGACCCAGAGTCTGGAGGAAGAATGGAGAGGCACACACTGCAAGTTACTTGAAGTCCAGTGTGAAGTTTCCACAGTCTGTGTTGATTTGGGGAGCCATGTCATATGCTGGTGTTGGTCCACTGTGCTTCATTAAGTCCAGGGTCAACGCAGCCGTTTACCAGGAAATTTTGGAGCACTTCATGCTTCCTTCCACAGATGAGATTTATGGGATGCTGACTTCATTTTCCAGCAGGACTTGGCACCTGCCCTCACTGCCAAAAGCACCAAAATCTGGTTCAACGGCCATGGGATTACTGTGCTTGATTGGCCAGCAAACTCCCCTGACCTGAACCCCATAGAGAATCTATGGGGCATTGCCAAGGGAAAGATGTGAGACATGAGACCAAACAATGCAGAAGAGTTGAAGGCCGCTATTGAAGCATCCTGGTCTTCCATAACACCTCAGCAGTGCCACAGGCTGATAGCTTGCATGCCACGCCACATTTAGGTAGTAATTGCTGCAAAAGGGGCCCAAACCAAGTACTTAGTACATATGTATGCTTATACTTTTCAGAGGTCTGATATTGTTCTATGTACAATCCTTATTTTATTGATTGCTTGTAATATTCTAATTTTCTGAGAATGTGGTTTTGGGGTTTTCATGAGTTGTAAGTCATAATCATTTCAATTATGACAAATCACGGCTTGACCTATATTGCTTTGCATGTAATGAGTCTATCTCATATATTAGTTTCACCTTTTAAGTTGAATTACTGAAATAAATGAACTTTTACATGATATTCTAATTTTTCGAGTTTCACCTGTATATAGGAGGAGATGAGAAGTTAAAATATTTAGAGTCATATTCTGTAGGTAAATACTGATTCTTATTCCATGTAAGCAACTTGATTCTCAATGTTGCCTCAAGCAATTTGACATTTCATGAATGATAAATGTTAGTTTTTCTTGAAGTTTTTATGGTACTGGCATATCTTAGAAGAAGTCATGGCTTCCATATTCTTAGATATTTTTGACATTATCAGTCTTAACTCTTTCCCATTTCTTCCACTGTTGAGATGCAAGCAGTTACAGAGTCCCATTTTTTTTTCATACAAGTTTTTTGGAATAAATGTTAAGTTCCTAGTGAATACTTGGGAGTAAATAAAACATTTTGAATGTAATAGGGTTTTATTTTGAACTAGCTTGCACCAAGCCATACTAAAAAGTCATGTACCAATTAGTCATACATTCTTAGTACAGAAAACTCATAGCTTCACATGTCAAAGTTTTGATCTCATCAATTTTATTTTTGCAAACTGTATAATTTTTATTAAAATCTGCTTGTACACATTTCCTAATTGGTTTTTATAACAAATTACAATAGTTTGTTACAAATGTTATAATTTGTAACAAAATCATTATTGTGTTACAAATGTTCCAATTTGTTTTACAGCATCGGAAAAAATTATAACACTGCTTTTTAGATCTTGCAGGTTTTGAACACAAGCAAAATTGTTTATATTTGTAGTCCTACATTTGTCTAAAGAGCTACTGATTTTTTTTTTGGAATGCTTTTGGATAGCATACTTCTTGATAACAGATTAAATGCTATATTGTTTTAATATAGCATTATTAAAGGTTTGCATTGGAACAGTTTCAAGGCATATGCCAAATCTGCACTATGTATTATTCACTAAGTCTACCAGCCATTTATCATGTGTGCCAAATGTATTTTGCAATCCTACTTAGGCAAACAATAATAACTACAATGAGCTTTCCAGCGTGTAAGGATCCACTATCCATAAGTAGTAGTCTTGGTCTTTTCTGGATGGATTACATAATTCATAAAAATATTGTATGTAATGTCACTAATTCAGATTTTAGAATTAGTAATAATAGGATATAACCTGTTCTTAGGGAATCCAGAGTTCAGTGGCCTATAAAAGTATGTACTTTTATATATGTATTTTTATAATACTCTTCAACATTTTCATAAATGACTTAGTTGAGGGAATAGAAGGGGACGCCATCAAATTTGAAGATGACACTGAGCTGGAAGGAATAGTCAACACCCCAGAAGACAAGCTTAAGATCCAAAAAGATATTGACAGACTTTTGAACAATAGACCATACACAACAACATGAAATTTAATGTGCAGAAAAGCAAAGTTTTACAACTAGGCAGGAAAAACCAAAGGTACGAGGACAGATTATGCAAAACATGGCTCAAAAACAATAATTATAAGAGGGACTTGTGAGTCCTAGTGAACAATCACTTAAACATGACCCCAGCAGTATGCAGCAGCAGCCAAAAAAGCCAATACAATCATTGGTTGTATAAACAGAGGCATAGAATCAAAATAATGTGAAGTATTAGTACTGCTTTAAAAATCCTTATGTGATGACCCGGAGTATAACACAAATGTAACAAAATCCAAAATGTAAATAAATGTTCTTTAATGCCTCCAACTTGGCACCACTGTTCAATAATTCTCAGTTGGAGATGAAACATACTCAAAAATAGTCTTCAAAAGAAAGTAATACAGTCTGAACTTAATGAGCAGATAGAGGTGAAATAAAAAACCAAACAAACTACAATGATGAAATTTCCACAACAGAACAGGTGAAGTATTTACCAAATTCAAAGAGATAATAAGGCACAATCTGTTGGAAGGACGCCAACCAAGATAACTTCAGCCTAAAATAACTCACACTTTGCTCCTGGCAACACTGTGTTGTAATCATCTCTCTTATGTACTAGTCTCCCCAGCTGCAACCAACGAGGAGAATCATGGCCGCTTCCTCTCTCGTAAGCCAAGTTGTTTCCTTCTCTGTTCCTCCCTATGTTTCCTAGGATGCAGCGGGGATAGGCCTGATTCTTCCTCTGACTGACCAGCCAGCCTCTGCCCTTCCCCAGCCTCCTCCACAATCTCCAGAACCACACCTCCACTCCCTGTCAGCTTTTCCTCCTCTCCCTCTGAGTCCGACTCTACCAAGGGCATGACACCTTAGTAAGACCATATCTGAAATACTGTATCCAGTTTGGTCACCACATTACAAAAAAGATGTTGAGTCTTTGGAAAAAGTGCAAAGAAGAGCAACTAAGATGGTTAAGGAGACAAAAACATATGAAGAACGATTGCAGAAATTTGCTATAGCCAGTCTAGAGAAAAGAAGGACTAGGGGAGACATGATAGCAGTATTCCAGTATTTGAGAAACTGCCACAAAAAAGAGGGGTCAACTTATTTTCCAAAGCACCTGAAGGCAAGACAAGAAACAATGGATGGAAACTAATCAAGGAGAGAAACAATCTGGAATTAAGTAGAAATTTCCTAACACTGAGAAGAATTAGCCAGTGGAACAACTTGCCTTCAGAAGTTGTTAGGTGCTTCATCACTGGATGTTTTAAAGAAAAGACTATATAATGTCATTCTATATAATGTCATTATAAAAATAACTTTAAAATAAAATAAAAATAAAATAAAATAAAAAAATAAAAAAATAAAAATAAAAATAAAATAAAAGTTTCCAAAATTAAAAGTTCTAGTCATTCTTTTACTATTTATTCCAACAGAATTTTTTAAAAACTCTTAAAATTGTACTTAAAACTTCTTTTGCTGAACTTTGAAATACATTTGTTTAATGCTGTCAAATTTTTCAATCCAAGATTCTTAATAACTGAAAATTAGTTAGCAAGCTATACCCAAAAATACTTTTTTTTCAAAAAAAGAAATATTTCTAGGAATATTTAATTGTTGTTTTTTTACGAGGACTGGAATTTGATTATTTGGAAATACAAGTAGATTTGTTTAAAAACCACATTTGTTTGCTTATTAAATCCAAGGAACACATTAGGATGTCTTGCCTGCTGGATAGCATTGTGATTGGATCTTGAAAAATTAAATTTGACTGCATAAATTCTAGATTTCTATGACAAGTGACAATATTATTTGTTGTTCCTTGGGAAGAGAAGGCAATCATATTGTTTTCATATAAGAGGTTAATCTTCACTATTATATGTTTCTATTTCTCTGTTGAGGTAATAGGTTCTGTGTTATCTTTTTGAGCAATATATTATGTTTTTGGCTGCATTAACCCATTCTGCAGTTCTTAACTTTGTTCTCCTCCCGTTCTTTTACATTTCTCACTGTCTCATGTATTCAATTGTCATTCTCATTGCTTCTAAGGTTAGGAGGAGATAAAGTTAAAGACGGTGACTATACTTGTTTATTAATCAACTCTACTGTCAATCAGGACAATTAAATTACAATACCATAAAGTTAAATAAAAATGAAGGATTCAAATTGGACATGATGCAAATACATTAAGTTTGCAATTTGGATTTTTTTGATAAGTCTTACTAGACATTTGCTGTTTAATATGAGCAGATGAGATTTTAGAAATGAGCTTGTAGAGAATGGGATGAAGAATGGAATGAAGAGATTTTGGTTGTATTAAAAAAATAGTGCTAAGTTGTTAATGTTAATTGTGCTTGTTGAAGATTAAGAGAGGTTATATCTTTCTATTTTTTCTGTGCTCATTTTTATTTTTTAATTGTTTTAATTTTGTGTAAAAAAAGAATATTTTTGTATTCTGTTGCTCTACTTTATTTGTATAATATAACCTTTAAGGACTGTTGGAAGGACTGGAAAAAAGTGAACCAGTGTCCTTTAGAAGGTGCGAACTGCATTACAGCAAGATGGCTATTGTTTCATTTCCAGAACTCTAAACCCACTGGAGACCAAGGTCTTCTTACAAGGAGCAATAACTTAACAACCTAGTGAGCAAATAGCACAGGATAAGCATATATTTCCAGTGTATTGGTTGGAAAGAATTGTTCTTTGTAGGCAATTTGTTGGGAAGCCTTGGAGGATTCTATTATTTATAGCAGCCTTGCAATTCATTTATATTTTATGCACACCTTGAAAATTTTATTCCCATCTGCCCAAAAGGAAAAAAGAAAGAAAATTACAGTCAAATGTATGCCCAGATACTTTCTGTAAGCTAGACATTTTGGATGCACATATACATATCTAAACTGACTGAAGAAATATAATTATCACTGAACTAAACTGATGGGATTTACAACAATAATAATATTAAATATAAATATATAGGGTGAAAAAAATGCTATTTTATTAGCACTCCAAAACAAGTTTCACTAGATTAAAAAAATGCCTATATAAAAAAATAACAGAATTAGATATTGGGTTGTAAATAATATCATGAATACAATTTTGGATCTGGAAATGATGTATTGAAAAGTCCTATTCCACTGCAATCAGGCTGAGAATTTGTCATCTTCTTTTTGTTGGTTTCTGGATAGTTTGGCTAATGGCTGGCAATCATTGGCAATGTAATTAGGAGATCTATATCATATAAAGTTGCTTATCCCCACTTTATACAAAGAGCCTCTAATGCAGTAAAAACTCAAGCACATACATATGCTGGTGTTTGGAAAATTGGATGTCAGAGATCAACAAAATCTAACACCTTCTATTTCATGCTGTTCTTGTTTGATTTTCAGCTTTTAAGTAGTCCATTCACAGACTTTGATCAGCTGATGCTAGCACTGTAACCCGAGAATAATTTTATCATACTATAAATGCATTTGTCTAACGTTATTGACTTTGATACCGAATAAGCTCATTTTCTGAATTCAAACATGCTAGTCATTAGTAGCTAAGTTGGTCCATCACAGTGAGCTACCAAAATCAACAAACAACCCTACCCAAACTAAACAGGATCAGCATGTTGAGTGAATTGAATACTATGTGGACCTTCTTAAATTTGTCAGGCAAACCCACCATTGAATATTATGTATTGTCCTTTGGTTTATATTACTATTCTAAAATGGTTTGCCCAGAGAGGGAAATATTTTATTCATTCAATTTGTACCAGTTGCCCATCTCAACATTCAAAAGACCTTAGAAATCATTGCCTATTTGAAAGAACCTCTAAAGATGACAGATGCATTTAGGTCACCAATCCAGTCATAAGATTATAGGCACTAATAGGCACTAGGTATTGAAATATGGCAAGCAACAACAGCAACAAAAAAGAATCAATAAGGTACTAAGTAAAAATTATGCCAGTAAATCTATAGAATAACACAAGGGCCAACACATTGGAAGAAGTCAATATCCAAGAAAATTAGGACCTGCCTCAACTACCTTCCCAAGAAAGTAAAACTCTTGAAACAATTTACATTTCAAAAGGAACTTTTACTGAGAGATATTGATTGCAGAGAAGTCAGGCGGAGTCTAAAATCCAGGAACAAAGCACTAGGGTATTTCCCACGTTTACCCCCCACTCCATGACCATGATCAACCAATAGCATGCTGCAAAGGTATTTAGGAAATTTCTAAGGGTAGATTATGAGAAGAGTTTGTCCTCAGGGCACTGTGGCCTTGGATACCTGGCTCAAACCAGGTGAGAAGAAATTGATGCATAAAAGTACTCCTCTCGAATGATCTGAGTGCTAGAGCCTACTGTAACTACATAGCCAAAAAGACATTAAGAGTTGTTAACCTAATCCTGCATAGCTTTTTCTCTGGTAATATCACACTACTAACTAGAACATACAAAACATTTGCTAGACCAATACTTGAATACAGCTTATCAGTCTGGAACCCACATTACATATCTGATATTAATACAATTGAGAAAGTCCAGAACTATTTTACAAGAAGAATCCTCCACTACTCTACTCATAGCAGAATACCTTATGCCACCAGACTTGAAATTTTAGACCTAGACAACCTAGAACTACGCCGCCTTTGGTTCGATCTAGGTATAGTATATAAAATTATATATTGCAATGTCCTACCTATCAATGAATACTTCAGCTTCAACCAAAACAATACAAGAACACAAAATAGATACAAACTAAAGATAAACTGCACCAAACTTGATTGCCGGAAATACGACTTCAGCAACAGAGTAGTCAATGTCTGGAATACTCTACCTGACTGTGGTTTCTTCCCCAAACCCCCAAATCTTCAACATTAGACTGTCTACTATTGACCTCACCCCTTTCCTAAGAGGTCTGTAGGGGGCATGTATAAGCGCACCAAAACGTGCCTACCATCCCTGTCCTATTGTTTCTTTTTTTTCTTATTCGTATCCATTTCATGTATTTATAACCATGTTTATACTTATACCTGTTATCTAATAATTGTTTGATAAAACAAACAAACAAACAATAAATAAATAAATAAATAAAACAAAACATGGAAGCTTTTTTTTTTAAACTTCCAGCAATCCAGTGTAGACTTGATTGCAGTTTCTGTAAGTGCTATTCTGGTTTAACTACATCAGCAAAAAATATTTTGCCACAAAGTACAATATAGTGCAGAAGAACAACTTATTCACATCTATATCACATTCATTAAGCAGGCAACTGACATCAAGTTCTTGATCCAGTATAGTAATGGAAGCACATATTAAGGGAATGGTTTAAAAATGGAAATCATCTACTTCTGTGTATTTTAACAAACTTAGTTTGGAGTGATGTGGTGGCCTAGAGGTGGACCTCTTGCCTCACAATCAGGAGGCTATAGGTTCAATCCTAGGTAGAGGCAGATATTTCTCTCTGGGCACAATGAGAATATATCTGCTGAATAAAATTCCACATTGGCGACAGGAAGGGCATCTGGCCAGTAAACACTCAACTCCATTCAGTTGCCCAGACTCTATCCTGCAAGGGATTATGGGGTCATTAAAAGGAGATTGTCTTAGTTTACTTATCAGAGTCTCAATGCCAGCAGAGTCTCATTTGCAGCAAAGAACAAGCATCATTTGAGATCCATCAACAGTAGTTAATGAAGAACTGTGAGTGAGTGAGTGAGTATGTATGTATATATGTATGTAGGATAAAAAGGTAATTCACGTCTATAGGTTCTTTGACAATCAGCATTTTTTTCTTCTTACATGGCCTCTCAATTGTGTCTGTCTCTCTATATTTATCTCAGAAGCATCTCTTGCAATCTCCTAAAATAGATGAAATTATTTATTCCAGGAACAAATTGATGGCATAGTTACTTTTCTTTTGTATGAAAAATCATATCCTAATACTGATAATTTCTCGGTAAGGGCTATGCCATTCATACCTCCTAATAGCATTATTCTGCTGTCGAAAGATATATTACATTTCTGTCACATCCAGCATTATTACTTGAAAATGTTGCTGTGTATTGCTATCAGGTTCTTGGAAACTGTGGTTCTTTTGATCTTAGCTGTTCTGTTGCAGATTTGTTAAACAACCAGAGTCCCCTCCCCCACAAAATGAAAGCATATCAAAGGAAGTTGTCCTTCTGTGGATTAATTTAGAAGTGACAGTCAGTCTAGAAGTCTAATCACCCTATATTATACTAACATATGTTATTATTAAAGGGCTACTGGAACCTAAGGGTGTGTGTGAATTGCTTTCTTATCCAACTTACACCAAATTATTTCCAGTAAGTACAAAATTTTGAGCCAAGGATATTAAAAAAGTCCACAATGACAGGCAGGATAATAATTTATGAGTTTATAAATTTATAAAGGAAGGTAGCTCATGCTGAGAAAAGATCTATCTTGACTATGCTAATTTTCCCCATCACTGGGAATGAAAAAGAGTCACATAAATCAAAATCAAAATCATCTCAAGTGGAAAGGAAACTCTTATGGAGAGAATACTGAGGACTAAACAGCACAGTTTTATGGGAAACAGATTAAATAGTGATAAACAAAGTAAAAAAAAATGGAGTACATCAAACAACAGCCTGATTGCCTGGGCTGATTAAACTATTGCCATTGGACTAAAAATTGCTTTGCTAAAACTTTATGTGTTTTGTGATACAAAAGCAACAATGCTTTTGTATCAAGCACGTTGAGACTGTAGAACGAGTGCAGAGAAGAACAAGAAAGATGATTAGGAGACTGGAGGATAAAACATATGAAGAATGGTTGCAGGATTTGGGTATGTCTACTCTAATGAAAATAAGGACTGGGATGACCTGACAGCAGTGTTGCAATATTTGATGATCTGCCACAAAGAAGAAGGGGTCAATCTATTTTTCAATGGATCAGAAGGCAAGACAAAGAGGAATGGATAGAAACTAATCAAGCAGAGAAGCAGCCTAGAACTAAGAAACTATTTCCAAACTATTACAACAATTAATCAGTGGAATGGCTTGCATCCAAAAGTTGTAGGAGCTCCAACACTGGAGATTTTTAAGAAGAGATTGGACACTCATTTGTCTGAAATGGTATATGGCTTCCTGCTTGAGCAAGGGGTTATATTAGAAGACCTTCAAGGTCAGTTCTGTTTTTCTGCCACATTTTTTTTTTGTTGTTGTTAAAGCAACAATTTTTGGTGGATGTGGAGGATTCTGTTCATCAGTACAAATCCAGTAATCCTAGAATTCATTTAAGCAGAAGCACATAACTAGTCATAAACTATAATGAATTAGCCATGGTATTGTGGTTGGAAATTGCATGTTTTCTAGTTGGAATGGAAAAAAAACCAATCTTCTTACAGCAATCACAGGTTTTTTTCTGGCTTTATTTCAGAATAAATTATGCAACTAAGTATCTTTGAGAACAACCTTTCATTAGGGAGAATGAGATCTTTCTTGCCTGTTGGGAGTTGTGTGAAGAGAGAAGAGTGGAGATGTATGAAGGGAGCTTTTGAAAAAGCATTTGCAAATTTCAGTAAAGATAATTGTTCAACTAGATGCTAATGTTCACTCTTCTGGAGAAAATAAAATATAGGAGAGTCCAGAAAGTAAACTATCTTGGAATCTAGTTTTCATGAAGAGTATAACCATATTGTGATTTTACTTACTAGACTGACCATTAGTGTGGTGGCACTGTGGTTAGAATGCAGTATTGCAGGCTGCCAGCAGTTCGATCCTCACTGGCTCAAGATTGACTTAGCCTTCCATCCTTCCAAGTGGTAAAATGAGGACCCAGATTGTTGGGGTCAATATGCTGACTTTGTAAACCACTTGGAAATGGCTGTAAAGCAGTATGAAGCAGTATATAACTCTAAGTGCAATTGCTATTATTTAAAAATATAATAGGTCAATTATAATCATAAAATTATAACTTCTCTGAGTGTTGAAATCTTTCATGTTAAAAAATAAAGGATTTGTACTTATAATTCTAGCAGCTAGATTTATGAAATGAGTTAGCAGTGAAAAAGATTAATCTTATCTCAGCCTTGGGTCAAAGGCTGCAATCCAAATTCTATCAGGTGATCTTCATAAAATTGTTTGATAAACCTCATCTTCACTTGGTTTAAACTGAGTCTGATTTGTTCTCATCAGCATTAAGCCTGCTTTCATACTACTACAACAATTACAGATGACACTTCATTTGCATGCACTTTAGGGATGTTTGTACATGTTGAAGCAGTTTAATGAGGATTTAATGTATTCCAGAGAATGGAGTTTGGAGATTTCAAAAGCTCAACTTTCACAAGTACTATATTTTATTGATATTAAATTAAGAGCAACTCTCAGCAGTATCCAAATACTTCTAGTTGCACATAAAATGTTTCTTGTGATGTATGTTGTTTGTTTCTTAACAGGACATCTGAGCAGCATAAATTTGTAATCTTACTCTTTTTTCCCCACTGACTTTTAAAAATATAATTCAGACAGGCAAAATCCTCATCACTTTTGAATCTAATATAACACAACACAATAGAAACAATATTTTGTTGAGACAGAATGGAATGCTGGTGGATATGTTTGCCATCTTCTGCAGAGATATCACTACTACTATTGCTTGTACATTGTTCTAAGTAATGAAGGGGAAGGGGTGTCAAGGTAACCCTTAACTTTAATATATCTTCTCAGGGAAAACAAAGTACTACAAGGTGTTAAATTAAACAATTATTCCCTGCTCAAATATGCTTGTCTAGCAAAACTAAAGTGTCAGTTCACACAGAAACTTTGAAAAGGCCAATGAATGTTGATAGGTTGGGAAAACATACAAAGAGGCAAACATAGGTTCTGGAAACCAGAAAAACTCTTATAAAACCCGTAACAACAATTTTCTAGAAGGAAAGTATATTCATGAAATATTGCCACTACCCTTTCAAAACCCCTGTTCTTTTTGTAGTCCATTACCTCATAGGTGTGCCTTAATTACCTCTCTGACCTCACTAGATTCAGAATGTGCTACTTTCAATCAAATAAAAACTCTAATTTACATACTGTAAGTCTATAAAGATAGAGTGCAACTCCTCCCCTTTTGGGGCCTGTTTTTGCCTCTAGTCCTGTCAAATAACCATCAAACTAACAGACTACTTAGGCTAACATGTTTCAATGAACTCAACTATAGAGTATATCTAAACTGAATTTGACAATATATTGAAAGAAAGTATACAGGGGCATCAGGATAAAATCAACTGATAATGCAATCCATAATTAATCTAGAATTTACAAATTAATTCTGGAAATAAAAAAGTGTATAGATTTTCTTCCAACAGCGTTAGCTGCAAGGTGCTTGACATACTATAAAGCATGTTAATCAACAACATTTATGTAATAAGGGGCTAATCAAGAGGACAATCATATCCCCATAGTGGCATGGCTGATACTGGAATGGCATGAAGTTCAACTCTTGTTGATGGACATCAAGAACTTTCAAGTTTTCTTGATAAGCAACTAGAAGTAGAAACTTGGCTTGATGTTGAGAAAACATATGGCTGCTTGACAACTCTGTGCCACATATAAATAACATGAAAGGAAACAAAATAATGGGATGGGAGGAAGGACAAAACAGAACAGAGGGAAAAGATACAGTTGACTAGTGTAGGGGTCTCCAACCAGGGGTGGGTTTCTACCAGTTCTGTCTACCTCTGTAGAAGTGGTTGCTCCGAAGAGCAGCAGACATAAAACACCCCCCCCCGCCCCCAGGCTCTTACCTGACCTTTATTTCCTGCTTTTCCAAAGGGCTTTTCCAACCGCTGCACACTTGCATGCAGCGCTGCTCAGCTGTCAGGGCAGCTCACCAAGTTGTAAATTGCACTTGCGTGACTCGCGCATGGGCAAGTGATGCTAATAGACAGAACTGGTAGTTATACCAGTCGGATCCCATCCCTGTCTCCAACCTTGGCAACTTTAACATTTGTGGACTTCAACTCCCAGAATTCTTCTACAAGTCCACAAGTTGCCAAAGTTGGAGACTCCTGGACTAGTGAGCAGAAAGTTCTATCAACATTAAACAAACAAACAAAAAAAGACTAGGAAGTTCATTACTCAGAGTAAAATACTTACATTGTCCATATGTTAAAAGGTGTGGTTGGGATCCAAAATCTTTACGTCACAAGCACAGAAAGGAAACCTGTCAGTACTTTTGTTACAGCAGATCAAACACTGACAAGAATATATGCAATAAGCATGGTACTCCCCAAGTGTTGCAATTTGTTAAGCAAAATCTAACTGAATCATTTTAAGAGTTCCATTTGTCTCTTGTCTATGGTCAAGGTAGTATTCAAAATAGGTCAAAATAGAAGAGGATACATTCATATGTATACTTTCAACCAGTCCAACATATAGTGACATAACCACAATATTTCAAAAGGATAATTTTCTCTGTGTGGGGTTTTTTTTTTTTTTTTGAGAACTAAGCATATATCCCATTAAAATGATACAGCTCAGAGGGAAAAATCAGCAGTCTAAGAATAATCCAAACTATGTAAAATTATAATTCTGTCACATAGGAATTTAATTTTTTTTTTCATTTTCTGTTGATTGACATCCGAGTTTTAAAAAATGGGAGGAGGAAACAAAGCTTTATGATAAAAGAAAATGGACTTAAGTAACCTGGGACTATTAGTATATTAAACGGGAGCATTCTGCATGGGTAGATTTTACTGCAGAAGCTCCACGATACATAAAATATTAATAAAATATTGAGGGGATGTCAAAAAGAGAAAAAATTAAAACTTGCTATGGAAATTGTATATATATTCTAACTATAGATTGAATCTTCTGCAAATATTTTGATCTTCTTAATTCTAGTCTATAAGTATGGTAGAAAGAACATTTTCAGTCCTATCAATTATTCATTATATGTGTCTATCTATCCCATACTTCTGAAAACTGTCAGTGAAAGTGTGATAACACTTTAAAAGTATACTAATTTAGCTAGGCTTCCTTCTTTTGTTTACCTGACACAAGTGAATAATGACTAAGTAATATGTTTGTCTTGCAATATGTTTTCACCAGAGAATATTTTAAAAGTATAATTGTTCACAGCTGTTTAACAATGATGGACAGTTGATCTTAATTGCTAATCAGGCATCTGGGAGGGCCCTTTGCTGCCATTTAAAAGGTTTATCCAATTATTTTTTATGAGAGAGGTTAAAATGTCATTAACCATCATTAAAGCAAATAGATTAATGTCAAATAAATGGAAATACCCCTGACAAATATATTTATTTATTCATTCATTCATTCATTCATTCATTCATTCATTCATTCATTTAATCAAACAATTGTTAGATAACAGGTATAAGTATAAACATGGTTATAAATACATGAAATGGATACGAATAAGGCACGTTTTGGTGTGCTTATCCACGCCCCCTACAGTCCTCTTAGGAAAGGGGTGAGGTCAATAGTAGACAGTCTAATGTTGAAGATTTGGGGGTTTGGGGAAGAAACCACAGAGTCAAGTAGAATATTCCAGACATTGACTACTCTATTGCTGAAGTCGTATTTCCTGCAATCAAATTTGGTGCAGTTTATCTTTAGTTTGTATCTATTTTGTGCTCTTGTATTGTTTTGGTTGAAGCTGAAGTATTCATTGATAGGTAGGACACTGCAATATATAATTTTATATATTATACTTAGATCGAACTGAAGGTGGCGTAGTTCTAGGTTGTCTAGGTCTAAAATTTCAAGTCTGGTGGCATAAGGTATTCTGCTATGAGTAGAGGAGTGGAGGAGTCTTCTCGTAAAATATTTCTGGACTTTCTCAGTTGTATTAATATCAGATATGTAATGTGGGTTCCAGACTGATGAGTTGTATTCAAGTATTGGTCTAGCAAATGTTTTATACGCTCTAGTTAGTAGAGTGATATTACTGGAGAAAAAGCTATGCAGGAGTAGGTTGACAACTCTTAATGCCTTTTTGGCTATGTAGTTACAGTGGGCTCTAGCACTTAGATTATTTATGCTTTAAGCCAAAGTTTACTTCAAATATTTCTTTGCTTTCTTCCTTTTCTTCCCCACTTAAATCATAATTTTGCTCAAGGAAAGATATGAGAGAATCGATAGTTATATCATAAACATTCTAAATGCTGTCTTCCAGCATTTTTTTTAAAGGCCAAATTAAAAACCAGGCATTTTAATTAGGTAAATCATCCATTTATCAGGAATCAGGTAAAGACAGCAGGAAAGATCTTGAAACTTGGAGGTCTCCCATAATTTCTTACTATCATATGTTATCCCAAACACAATCAAGGCAGGGTCTTTCTGAGCTTCTCATAGTTCTCACTTTTTCTGGATTGCATAAATGTTTCTGCAAGTTATTCCCCAAGTTAATTCTTTTCTTCCCTCCTCAGCATCTCATTCAAAGTTAATTCTTTCTCTATTCCTAAGGTAATTTCTAAAACCCATTTACACCATTATTTTCAGAGTACTTGAATCACTCAATGAGAACTGAAATTTAAATTTTTAAAAGATTTTTTTGCATGAAGTCAAATATAGACAGTATTTAACTGACTTTGGCTCATTAAAAACATTCTTTCTTCAAAATCCCTGAAAAAGCAACTTGCATTATAAGCCTTGTATGTTTTTAAGCGAATCCATATGATACAATGCATTTTCATTATTTTTCACAAATGCCACATCTTGCAGGAAGTATGTTTTTTCTTACACACACACACACACACACACACACACACACAATGGGGGCAGGCAAATATTTTGCAGTGGTGGGCCATTGCTTGTTTTGTTTAATTTTATTTATTTATAAATTTGTATACTACCCATCAAACTTAAGTGACTAATTAGAATTCCAAAAGCCATGACGATACAAAAAAATGAGCCATGAAGTTTAAAGGAATAGAACTGAACATACTGAAATAAACAAATAAATGGTGGATTAGGAAGGCTGTTCCACATTGATCTTTGACCTTATTTGGACTTAAAAGAGCCATGATGGTGCAGTGGTTAGAATGCAATACTTGAAAGCTACTTCTACTGATCACCAGCTGCCAGCAGTTCGGGTCTCAACAGCTCAGCCTTCCATCCTTCTGAGGTGGGTAAAATGAGAACTCAGATTGTTGGGGAAAATATGCTGACTCTGTAAACCACTTAGAGAGGGCTGTAAAACACTGTAAAACACTGGTATATAAGTCTAAGTGCTATTGCTATTGCTAAAAAGTCCCTTTCCCTGAACCCCCCCAAAATATTAAAATCAGCAATTTCAGCAACACAATTCTCTACATCTTTAAGAAAGCAGAAAAAAGGGTCAAAATGTTGTATGCCAGCCCAATGGCTGTGTATGCAAGCACAACTTAAGCTCATCAAGCTATTCTTCCTCAGCTTTCAAATAAATATATTTAAGAACAAGATAGGTTAAACTGTTCTATGTATTTCAAAAGAGCAGGCTGTCTACTACATCTCCACATGACCAAATAAAATATTTTTTATTATGGTCCTTCACCAGCTCTGCTAATTTAAAACAACAATTTGTAATGTGGGGGGGGGGGGGGATGACAATGTGACAGTGGCATATCTAATTACAGGTAGTCCTTGACTTACAACCAATCACTTAGCGGCAAACTCCATTACAGTCTTAACTTAAAAACTACTGTAATGGTTTCATGCAATTGTATGATAGTATACAGCAGATATTTGACCGCATAGTACATGAATGTGGGCTTAACAACTCTTAAAAAGTAACAAACATGATTAAACTAAAGTAATTGGGGAAGGTAGTTATCATTTTATATCTTTGTATCCATTGGGTTTGCATTATTCACTTATCTTGAGAGAAATGCTTTCCAAAAAAAAGGAAATCACTCATATTCTAAACATATTCTGTTTCTTCTAAACAGTAAAGATTGTGCCATTTACAAATCTACAGAAGATTGTCCTGGGAAAGCATATATTTTTAACACTTTCTAAAATGATGTGA